TCTCTAAATCTCTCCACTTAACCCTCACAATAGGGTTATATATATATATATGTTTTAATTTAGAAAGCAATTGCGCAGGCTGCCCTTCGTAAATCAGCACGGCCGTGCTAGAAGTGGCACGGCCGTGCAAGCATGGCAGTAGCTGATCCGCAATATATTCAATTTTGGCACGGCCGTGCTAATGCCTGACACGACCGTGCTAATGCCTGGCACGGCCGTGCTGAATCTGGAGAATGGCACGGGCGTGCTGAATTTGGCACGGGCGTGCTAATGCCTGGCACGGCCGTGCAAGCATAGGCAGGAAGGTTGCAGGCACTTTGGTCTTCTTAAAATAGTCACAACTTCTTATCTAGAGCTTCGTTTGAGGCGTGCAATATATCGTTGGAAATATCTTCAAGTCTACTTTCCAATGCAATTGGAATCACTCCAATATCATTTGTATACCGAAAGTTATGAGCAAAATAGTGAACAGGTGTCATATTTGTGAACTGTTCTGCCTTGCCTGCTACTTAACTTGCCTTTCAAAGCCTTGAGAACCGCAGCAAATTCTTAGCTTGGTGGACTAGGATCGATAATAGCCTGATTACGCACCAATGGTCCGGGACTCGACATAACTTGGTCAACTATACCTGTTAACACACCAAAAACAGACCGAAACTCGTGAAGCACGTAATATGAAGGAAACGAGTGTAACAAGGCAATAAACGACCAAAACGGGCCTAAATACATCCAAAATCACCCATTTATATGCCTTAAAGCGCACCCTAATGTGCGCTTGTCAGGTATAAATACCCATCTATGAGCAAATTGAGACTTTGTCCAAGGTGGAGAATAGTTAAAGGTAAACTCACCCTCTCTCTCTCTCTTCTTATTTTCTTTTTCCCTGTAATTTTTCCCCTCTCCCCTCACTCTCAACTCACAACACATACACACACATACACACAACCACCGCAAGTGGCCGGCTGCCACCACCACCACCGGTCAGCCTTCACCAGCATTCGCCAGCAGCAACAGCTGGTGGGAGGCGGCGACAATCGTCCTCCCTTCCCCTCCTTGTGTGTGTGCGTGGGTTCGAACAAAAAAAAATCTTGCTTCAATGTTAATTAGCTTATATAAATTATTATTTTGAGTGTTGTGTGATGATTTTATGATGTTTTTGATGATGTTTAACGTATATAATTTTCAGATTCAGTTTTTATATTAAAAAACCCCAAATTATTAAACCCTAGGTTTCTAAATTGATGTTTATTGAAGGAATTTAATAGCGGTTGATTAAAACTATTGAAATTAATATTTTTAAACTAAATTACAGCAAGTTTAAGAGTTTTTATATTGCTGAAATTTTTATTTAGAGGCTAGAATAAAGTTTTCTTGAAAGGATTTTAATTACCAATTAATTGGGAATAAAAGTAAGTGGTTTTAATTAATTTTCAGCATGTTTTAAAAGTGTTATATATTGCTGGAAATTTTATATGAATGGGTATTATTGTCTCTTTGTAATTGTGGGTTGTAGGAGACTTCCAAGTGAGTGATTTCGTGTAGTCGTGGCGATTTTGAGATCATATTCGAGGTACATTCGCGTACTTAGTATTTATTAAAGCATGTAGAAACATGCTAGGACTTGTATAATTAATTTCAAGTTAGTATCATGATAGGTATTGATTGGAATTATTGATTGGATTGGTTTTGATGATTTGTTTGATGAGGTATGATTGGTTGAATAAATATGGGTAGGATTTGATTATATTGACATGTTGTATATGGACCGCACTTTTATTATTGGAATAATTGAAGGCATGTTTAATTAAACTAATTGTTTAATTTGGTTAAGAATATAAAAAGGGAATTTTACTATGGTTTATATAATTTTTATTGATGCTATAAGCATGGGAAAGGAGCTATTTAAGTGTCTATGTACACGAGGATTAATTTATATTTTGGTGCCTAAGTGCACTTAAGGTGTTCTAACCATCGAGGGATAGGATTTGTGGTGCATTATGCGCTTAAGGTGTTATTTAACGCCGAGGTAGTTTAAAAAGGATTCAACATTTAATTATTTGTGATCACTAATTATTCATCAAGAGTTCAATTGAAATGTTTGATTACTTGAATGAATTATATGGATTGACTGTGTTGTGGATTAAGAGTCATCACCAAGTCTAAAATATGTAAGCAACGTAAAGTGAAAGAGATTACGCACCAAAACTCTTGGAACGTATATACCTCAAGTATGAACATATAGAGAGAGTTATGTGACTTTACATTTGATCATAACTTCTACTTGGTGTACAGGACGATGTATTTTCCTTTTTATTATGTGCAAGAATTCCGCCACTTACGAGTGGTTCTTTTATAATGGCACGGTTAGCTCCCGTGTTACTACACCATTATTTTGGGGCAGGTTAGGGGGGAAACCCGTTTGATGCGTAATCAAATTAAATAAGCAATTTAATTGTCTGTTGAATGAAATGTATGTTGTATGCTTGTAACAGGTGCAACAAGGTAAGTTGTGTGATGATAGGGTGTATGCATGTTAGTGCGAATCATTTACGCTTATGTACTCAGCATTGCTGATTGTGTGTTTGTATGTTCGTTTGGCCTTGTCTTTATCTTGGCCCTACAACGACCCATTTCTAATGGCGAGTAGTGGAGACAAAATAAATGGAAGCTAATTTTCGGGTGATGAAGCATATTCATGATGGGCATGAGTGAAGAGCGATTCTTGCTTAGTTTTTATAATAGTAAGATACTAAGATGTGTTTTAATTGCTTTTGTTATTATATATTTGCTTATGAGACTAACACATGTTTTTAAATATTTGATTTGGGTTTTTGAAAGGGCCTACAATGGTTCCAAGTTGTAGTTTGACTTTGTTTGACTTTGGTTTGACTTTACTTTCATTTGGTTGATTTTTGTAGTTTTATTTCGAATGGTTTTTAAAACAAGTCTTCCGCTGTGTATCTTTGATAATTGCCTTAGTCGTTATCACGGTGGCGGTAATGTCTTAGAATTTCTTATTTCGTATTTTGAAAAGGAAAAAACAGGTATTTTAAGGGAAAGGAATTTCTAGGGTGTTACATGTATCAAACTCAGTAGAGTTGATGACATTCTTGGACAAACAATCGATGACCAATTTGCAGTCGGACTCAAGAATGATGTCTTGCACCCCATACTTTCTTCCAGTTTTCAAAGTGATAAGTAGAGCCTTCGCTTCAGCCACTTCGAGAGGCCAAAAAGATTTTGTTTTGCGAGTAACAACCCCTAAAATTCTTCCCTCATGATTCCTGGTAGCCACACCTAAGCTAACCCAGCCTTCATCCGCAAGGGACGCATCAGTGTTTATCTTCACAACATTTTTAGGAAGAGCATGCCAAGAGTTTGGGCTTCGAACAGGAAAGGAGATAGTAGATCCGTAGATGCGAGTAGCATAATTACCATATTCCTCAACATACCTTGCAACCCTTTGAGTGATAACTGCATTAGGAGTGGACTTATTATCAAAAACTTTGAAGATTTCTTTCCCCCCATATGCACTAGGCTAGAAACATACCGCGTTGAACAACCTTAGCATCAAGTGTTTTCCAACTAGACACTAAGTCGCAGAGAGAGTCGGAAACCCCCCACTCAGTCATTTGCTCGCATTGACAGTCCACCCAAAGTTTCCTTACACGGTTACAGGCTACTAGCGCATGTTCAGCAGTCTCAATGTCAGTTCCACACCACGGACAAGACACATCAGAAATCATGTGCATATGAAGAAGGAGGCTTCGGGTTGGTAAAGTAATTGTGCAAAGCCTCTAAAAGAAATGCCAAACCTTTGGTATTACCTCATCTTTCCAAATCTCCACCCATGCATGATGAAATTTGTCTAAATCACACCATTTTTCGAGTAAATAAGTTGATTTGACTATGTAATCACCCCCTTTAGAGAACGCCCAACATAGCTCATCATCTTGTCCCTTCTTACTAAGAGGAATCACAAGAATACAGTGCCTATCCCTAACATTAAAGACCTCCTCAATCAAGTCACTACGCCACTCCATGTTGTCAACATCAATGATTTCCCTCACCCTTTGCACATCATCTCGCACAACACTAGATAAGAAATGTCTGCCCTTGTCAGCCACCTAGGGATCGTGCCAAATATTCACTTTCCTGCCATTCTCGATCTGCCAAATCATATCTTCTTTGATACGAGCTTTTGATGACCAAATGCTCCTCCAAGAATAGCTACCAGCAAGCCCCAAAGAAGAATCAAGAAAATTGCAATTGGGGTAGTAGTTAGCCTTCATAACTTGACCAAGAAGAGAATCGGGAACCTTACTAAGTCTCCAAGTCTGTCGACCCAAGAGAGCATCATTGAACACACTCAAATCACGGAAACCGCCTAAGCACTTCAAAGTACATATTGATTCCCAATTTTTCCAATGAGTTTTCCTTTTGCCTTCAGATGAACCCCGAAAAAACCTTGCCATTATCGAATGGATGCGCCGAATGACTAAAACTAGAAATTTATAAACTCCCATCAAGTATGTAGGAATGGGCTTAGATAACATATTTCCGCCTAAGCACTTCAAAGTACATATTGATTCCCAATTTTTCCAATGAGTTTTCCTTTTGCCTTCAGATGAACCCCAAAAAAAACTTGCCATTATCGAATAGATGTGCTGAATGACTGAAACTGGGAATTTATAAACTCCCATCAAGTATGTAGGAATGGCTTGGATAACATATTTTAGAAGAATTTCCTTTCCGGCTCTCGATAGAAGCTTCTCCTTCCAACCTTGAAGTTTCTTCCAAATCCTATCAATGACTACTTCAAAAATTTTTTTCTTCGATCTACCAATGATAGTAAGGATACAAAGGTACTTTTCGTGTCTGTCCACCTGTCGCATTTTTAAGATGTTCATCAAATCTTCCCGTTGCTCCAAACTTACTCCCAAACTAAAGGACACTTCCAACTTCTCATAATTAATTTTCTGCCCGGATGTCTGTTCATACTAGTTGAAAATATCAACTAAAATTTGACATCCATGTTTAGTAGCCCTTGTAAAGAGTAAGTTGTCATCTGTAAAAAGAAGATGAGAAATTTCCATCCCGTTGCGACTAGCCTTAGCCCCATGAAGGCTCCTATCCTGTACCTTATTTTGCATCATACTAGAAAACACATCAGCAACCAGAATAAAAAGATATGGGGAGAAGGGATCTCCATGTCCGAGACCTCTGGTAGGAGTGACCAAGCCACAGATACCTTCGTTAATAACGAAGGAGTAAGAAACAGTTGTAACACACTCCATTACTAAATTCACCCATCTTCCGTCAAACCCCATAGTGAGCAATAATTTCCGTAGAAAGCCCCATTCCGCCCTATCATAAGTCTTGCTCATATCGAGTTTCATAGCCAATGGTCCTTTTCTCCCCTTACTTCTATTCTTCTTAGTATGAAATAATTCCAGAGCAATTATAGCATTATCAGTAATCAAGCGACCCGGGACAAAGGCCCTTTGATTTTTTGACACAGTACTAGGGAGAATATTTTTTAGCCTAATCACAATAGACTTGGACACCAACTTATATAAAAAAAAAAATTACATAGAGCAATAGGGCGATACTCGCCCGTAAAAGAATGTTTTTGCACCTTCGGAATTAGCACAATATTAGTATTATTAACATGACCATGCAAAATACTACTAAAAACCTAGTAATCTCATCACCGACAATGTGCCAAAAACGTTGGTAAAAAATTGCATGCATACCATCCGGCCTGGGAGCTTTGTAAGGGTGCATTTGTTTTAGAGCCTCGAGAACCTCCGCCTTTGTAAATAGCCTCATAACTTCCCTATTATTATCTTCAAAAATCTGAGCAGACACAGAGCCAAGAACCTCATCAATCATACTGTCATCAGGATGGGAAGAAGTGAATAAAGAGTTGAAATGTCTCTGGATTATCTGTTCAATTTTCTCTTCATCATCACACCAAACCCCATCTCCATCAAAAATTGAAGCAATGAAGTTCTTCTTTTTCTGGTGAAAATATTTCGTGTTTTTGTCCCCGTCATACACTTCCGAAACTCGACTTCAAATGAACCATTAGGCTTCAAGCTTCTCAATTAGATCATCTAAACTCTTCTCAAGTCTCGAGCACTCCTCAATCCTGTCAACCATAACACTCCTCAACTGTGCATCATGGAGTGCAGTATCTGCCTCAGAAATTTGCTTCTCTAATTTGTGGAATTTATCACTACTCCACCTCCCCAAGCCCCTTCACACTGTTGCGATACTCCTAATAGTTGGCTCACCCAAAGACTCATCCCAAGCATGCTTCACTATCAGTTCACAAGTTTCATCCAAAAGCCAATGTAGACATCTAAAAATGTCTCCCCAAAACCAAACCCGATGATGAACAACCTTTCACCGCCATTATTGGTCGAGTCGAGCATTTAATCTTGGGAGTGCTTAAAATCCATGTTCAGTCAAACACAACTTACAAATCAATCAACAGATCAGTCCAAACATTTAGTCAAACTCGGTCCAACTCACATTTTAGCCAAAACCCTTTTTAATTCATTTTGTGTTATTTATTAATTAAGCCCGATTAATAAATAATAAAACCCTAAGCCTGAAACAAGTCCGAAATAGCTGAAACGACGCCTAATTATCACGTACTTAATGCCTAAGAAAAGGATAGAATGAATGTAGACCAAATTCAGGAAAACTGATTTGTCGCGCCACGGTAAAAATGCCGCCTCACGGCAAGTTTTGCCGCGTCATGGAAAATTGCGCCGCGTCATGGAAAACTGTACCGTGTCATAGCAATTTGCGCAATGACACGGCTATTTTGAGGTTTAATTTCTTCGCAGCGCTTCAATTCTAGGGTTCTGTGCTTCACCTCTCATATTTTCTCTATAAATACGAAGCTGATTTCACCAGTTTGGGGGCACCAAATAATTCTCTCTTCCTCTCTTAGGCACCAAAAATCATTCTCTCTTTCTCTCTTATGCTCTAGCCTAAATACAAGCCTTACTTATTCTTTCACAATACATCCCTTACGCACTCCGCGGAGTCCGTACCTTACTCGCAGTTCTACACTTAAACAAGGGCGTGAAAGGTAGAACTGCTTGAGGGTTTGGCCCCAAATCAACTCTATTTTAATTTAATTTAATTTAATTTCCATTGTTGTTTATCATTTTCCTTGAAGTTACTAACGCGTTTATTGTTTTATAGTTGCAAGCAAACGCAATCAAAGTAAGGAATCATGTTCTTTGTTCCTATTATATTTCTAACGATTTTTGTTATGTTTTTCATATACTTATTGTTGGATTTATGGTTAAATTGCTTCCAATGTTGATGTTTATTCTATTGTTATTGTTGATCACCATATTGCATGTTAAAGGGAATATGTAATTGAATATAACGACTAAAAAGATAATTTGGACGACCGGTTTAGGTTCCTTTTTAATCTTGTTGTTAATTTAAGTGATCATTAAACATTAGAATTATGTGTTGCATTAACATTCAACCAATTTAGCTTAATAATAGTTTGGAGCAAATTGAATCTTTGTTTGAATGCCTTTGAGATCGCAGGAATTACTTTTCGCCATAAGAATCGAGTAGAGGCCAATACAGCCGAACATGACTCCATGACTCACTTCGTACCATCATTGTAATACCCCGTATTTTTGAAAGGTATTTTCTAAATTAAAGAGTATTTTATTCTCGTATTTTTGACGTATCATCTAAATTAATTATTTTCCTAAAGTGTATTTTAGTTTTGGAGCCAAAATGATATTTAAATTTTGGCGCCTAAATCATTATTTTACAAAACTAATTAAATTGGATAATCCAATAAATGAAACTATTTTATACTTATGTTATAAATAGTATTTTTGATTTCTTAAAATTAAATAGCTAAACCGAAATTATATTAATTCGGTAGATTAATTCAATTGTATATTCGGTTTTCATAGAATAAAAATCTAAATTGTTTTAATATCTTTCCAAATTAATTATTTTCATGAAATATATTTTTAAAGAATTAATTTTCAGATTTTATATAATAAAAATCTGATTTAATTAATTATTATAAGTCAAATTTTCGGCCACCCCAATTATTTAATAAAAATTTGATTTTATTATTTCAAGTATTAATTTTCACAAAATAAGTTTTATTGGATTATTAATTTTAGGCAAATAAATTATTTTACAAAATACCTAAACTAACATAAAAGGACCGAAAATATTGAACAATATTTAGCTCAATATTTTCGGCCACTCATGAATTTTCTAAAGGATTTTAATTTATTTTATTAAAAATAAAATCCTTTAAATTTCCTTATTTCTATTCTTAAATCTAAAAAATATTTGATCCTATTCTATACTTGCACTCCAAGCTCAAAACCTACAAAACAAAATTTCATGATCAAATAAAATCTAATATCCTTCCATACATTTAAAACCCTAATTTATATTCTTTAAATTTCCATAAATATACAACCCTAAATTGCTATAAACTCATCACCTAAACACCTATAAATACCCCCTCATACCTCTCATATTCTTCACACCAAAAACTCAATTCCCTTCTTTTCTTTTACTCTTTCCCTCAAACTTTTCCTATTTTTCTTTTCCTATTTTCTAAAAGAAAATCTGCCCGTATATCTTTGGAGCCAATATTCGGGCACTTCTGGTCAGTTTTTGGATTTTTCTATTTCACAGAAATTTTTCCTATTGAAAAATACTTGAGGTTAGGCTGAAGAATCACCCAATTCGGTGTTATATCAAAGGAGTTATAACCTCTTCAAGTTCTGCCTATCCTTTCCAACGCAAATTCAATTTCCTTTAATCCTATTCCTTTATTTTCTTCATGGTTAGTTTTCTAAAATATAATTACCTATTTCACAGTTATAATTTTATATTAAAGTATTATTTTTAAATTCATGTGAAGTTTTCATGAGAAACATAATTGTCCGAATTCTTAGTGCATATTGAAGTTTTACGGAAATTTTATTCCAAGGTGGAAGATACATATTTGATTTATATCAAGTGGAAGCTGGAAATAATTATTTTCATATGCAAAGCATGAAATTGTGCATATATGATTTACATGGTTTATATGACGGAATATATGAATTCCAAAATTATTGGTGGAACAAAAATTATTTAATGAGTGTTCCTAATGTTGGAATCGCTATATAATTTCCTTATATGGAAATAGATAGGTTTATGTGAAATATTAAAATCGTATTTTGGAATGATGGTGTCTGTTGTGAATTTCAATAAGTTTTTGTATTGACTATCAATTTAAGTGTGAATTTTATAAGTTTGATATAATCTATTGATTAATTTCTTTTACCTTATATGGTATAATTAACTATGTGATATGTGACATGTATTTGAATCATACGAAGTTACATGTGGTCAATATGGTTGGGTTTGTTATTTTGAGATGAGGTTTTGAGGTTTACCATGGGATAATGAGAAGCTATTTTGGATTGTTATCATGAATATTTGGAGGATTTGTGTTATCCAAGCCTTTACTAATTTTTGGAATATGATTTATGTTGAGCATGGAAATATTATTTGTGGTAATAATGAGTTAAAGGTTCTTCATAAGTATTGGAGTAAGGTATGTATTTTGGGAGATATGAATTTTGATATTAGCATTAATTTATGATCGTTTATATCTAAAGGTGGAAAGTATTCATATTGCAAGAATGAGTATTGTGATGATTATTTAAAGCAAAATTGTTGATGATTGAATCCTTTGAAGAAACTTGATACAAAAGTTAGAGGATTTTGAGTCAATTGAAGTGAAAGGAAGTACAAGAAATAATATTGAGATAGAGGAATTTGTTTAAATTGAAGTTATTTTGAAGAAATAATACCTTGTGAAGGGATTTATTAAAGTTAGTTAAGGAAATGATTGTTTGGATGATTACTTAAAGGATTTTACTCTAAGGGATTGATGATAAAATTGATATAGAGAAGTTATTAAAGATAGAAGAATCAATTGAGTTATTTAAAGAATTGCCTTAGAGATAAGTTATGGATTATTACAACCAGATTGAGGAATTTGAAGTTATGAGAAAAGATTATCGAATTTTTTTTTAAAGGCGAAGTATTATGTTATTTGAAGTAACCAAGAGGTAACGATTACGTTTTTAGGCTGTATTAATAGGACTCATGAAATTGTTGGGAAAATTGTAAATACTTTTGGAAGATACCCTGAGACAAGTTACTAATCTATGAGCGATAAGAAGGTCAAGGTGAGATATGTTCTTTTTATGCTTGTACTTATGACAATCTTTGCTATGAAGTTGAATATGTGATTATTGTAATTATAGAGTTTCTTTATGAAAAAGTAGACTTTTAAAAAGTATTTTACAAATATGAATTTTCAAATATATTTTGAAAATAAAGTTTTGTATTCCTTGTTTTTTTAAAATAATGGTTTAGATTGAAAACTTTCATAAATCTTTTAATATATTTGATTAAATATTTCAGCTCATACCTTATAGTCTTTCAACGATTTCTCCTAATGAAAGTATTTTAAATTTTACGAATGACTCATAAAAATATTTGACGAGTTTTCTAACTACTTTTGTAAACAAATCAAAACCTAAGTTCTTTTGGATGTTTGAAACTTGCTCATTTTCCTTACTTTGATTGACGATCACCGATAAAGTGTTAATATCGTTGATTTAATGAGTTAATGTGTTGGTCGAGTTACGGGGACGTAACTCCTTTATAAGGGGGGTTGAGTGCGATAGAGTTTCGCGCGCGTTTATTTTCAACCCTCTAGGTTAGCAGTAGGCTGTGTCTAGTTAGAATGTGCATGAAACTAACTAATTAAAATCTATTTTCAAAGAAGAAAATTTTTAATTTTTTTTTCCTCATTATTCTGCTTAGTTTCGGGGCGAAACTTATTTTAAGGGGGGTAGACTGTACCCGTATTTTTGAAATATATTTTCTAAATTAAAGAGTATTTTAGTCTCGAATTTTTGACGTATTATCTAAATTAATTATTTTCCTAAAGAGTATTTTAGTTTTGGAGCCAAAATGATATTTAAATTTTGGCGCCTAAATCATTATTTTACAAAACTAATTAAATTGGATAATCCAATAAATGAAAATATTTTATACTTATGTTATAAATAGTATTTTTGATTTCTCAAAATTAAATAGCTAAACCGAAATGATATTAATTCGGTAGATTAATTAAATTGTATTTTCGGTTTTCATAGAATAAAAATCTAAATTGTTTTAATATCTTTCCAAATTAATTATTTTCATGAAATATATTTTTAAAGAATTAATTTTCAGATTTTATATAATAAAAATCTGATTTAATTAATTATTATAAGTTAAATTTTCGGCCACCCCAATTATTTAATAAAAATCTTATTTTATTCTTTCAAGTATTAATTTTCACAAAATAAATTTTATTGGATTATTAATTTTAGGCAAATAAAATATTTTACAAAATCCCTAAACTAACATAAGAGAACCGAAAATATTGAACAATATGTAGCTCGATATTTTCGGCCACTCATGAATTTTCTAAAGGATTTTTAATTTATTTTATTAAAAATAAAATCCTTTAAATTTCCTTATTTCTATTCTTAAATCTAAAAATTATTTGATCCTATTCTATACTTGCACTCCAAGCTCAAAACCTACCAAACAAAATTTCATGATCAAATAAAATCTAATATCCTTCCATACATTTAAAACCCTAATTTCTATTCTTTAAATTTCTATAAATTATACAACCCTAAATTGCTATAAACTCATCACCTAAACACCTATAAACACCCCCTCATACCTGTCATATTCTTCACACCAAAAACTCAATTCCCTTCTTTCTTTTACTCTTCTTTTCCCTCAAACTTTTCCTATTTTTCTTTTCCTCTTTTCTAAAAGAAAATCTGCCCATATATCTTTGGAGTCAATTTTCGGGCACTTCTGGTCTGTTTTTGGATTTTTTTATTTCACAGAAAATTATTCCTCTTGAAAAATAATTGAGGTTAGGCTGAAGAATAACTCAATTAAGAGTTATATCAAAGGAGTTATGACCTCTGCAAGTTTTGTCTAACCTTTCCAACGCAAATTCAATTTCCTTTTATCCTATTCCCTTATTTTCTTCATGGTTAGTTTTCTAAAATATAATTGCCTATTTCACAGTTATAATTTTATATTAAATTATTATTTTTAAAAGTGTTTTATAGTCCATGCACATTAGATTTAGGTTTTTGTCTAAAGATGTTGTGATAACCGTATGGTTATGTTAATTGCAGGTGTATTCGTGATTGAACTTTGAAAGTGCGAAGTGTTGATTGATATTCGGAATTAAGGTACGTTATGTGGTTTGATACCTTCAAAAGTTGTCCATGAAATTGTATCTTATTATGTTCCTTATAAAATTATGTTTCATGATGGTTTGAATTAATGATTTTTGGTTAATCAAAATAGACTTTGAATTATGATTAAAATTATTAAAAAGGATTGGATTAAAATTGATTTACAGGTTTCTTAATATTCAAGAATGATGGATTTTTTTAAAAAAGGTGCTTTTAAGTAAATCAATCGATATGGTTATGAATCCCACTTAGGGAATGGATTAGAGAAGACTATGGACTTTGCATGACCTAGTCTTTCCTCAAGATTGTCCTTTGTTCATAAAGTAAACTGAAAGGAATGGTGTCCTTCCAATAAGTGTACTCTTTCGATAAATGGTTCAAAATTATTACAGAGTTAATTCTTCAGTAAGATCAAGTGATCGGAATGTCTAGGTGGAGGCTGCTTCCGATCAGTAATATCGAGGTACAATTGATATTACAACTTAATCTTAACTGAACCCTTCGGGTCGAACCCAATCGAATCACCGATCCGAGACGACGAATTAATCCAAAAAGGATTTAATGAGTCGACAGAGTTTTACGAATACAGACGTCGGAAATCGAGCCTAGGGCGTCGAGACCGAGCGTCGCAAAATCACAAGCGACGAGTACGAGTGTAGCCGTAGCACCACAATGGTCTAACCATGTGGATGCTAGGCTAGTTCGAGCTAGCGTGCACCTAGCATGGCTAGGCACAAGCCTAAGCACACTAGGTGTGCTAGGCTCGCCATCGCTGGCCTATCGCAAGCAACAGGCACACCAGGAGCACCTGGCAGCCTATCGCAAGCACTAGGCAACCCATCGCATCATCACAACACAAGCACAGCACCATCGCATGGCTAGGCCAGTGCGTGTCTGCGTATGCTTGTGCCTTATCTTATCGCATCAACACAGCAAGCATGCCTTCACATGGCACTGCATCGCAGCATGCGTGCCTGGGTGCTAGGCACCATCGCAGGCTCCTCGCACAAGAACAACACCATGGTAGGCCTTGTGTGCG